AAAATTACTTTATAGCATTTTTGTTTTACGAATACTTTTTATTTCAGTATAAAAAAATTCAGTTTTTTTTATTAAATTAGCAATTTATAATAAAAGCTTGTGCAAGCTGATCACGAAACATATCCGGATATATCCGGATATCCTTTAGATAATACAGATATTCGGGTATTTTCTGGATATCCGTTGGATTATCCGGGTATCCAAAATTTTGTATCCGTCCAATCTGAATATTCGAATATCCATTCGATATCTGTTTTTAATAGATAAAGGATACGAACTCTGATTTACATTACATGCATATATTCTTGCATGGACTGGTGATATTTCTGCTTTCTCAAAAGTTATGAATATTACTTGAAGATCGAGATTTACACCAATCCTAAATATTTCAGCTAAAAGGCAAGATATATATGTCAATGTAAATATTAGTAGTTTATCACCAAAATACTCAACACCACACAACAAAATTGACTAATGTTTTTCAAGACTTTTTTTTATTAGTCATATATTAAAAATAAATAGTATTTGATATATGTAATAAAATGAAATTTCCACCTAAACTATACATATCTGATTACTAATATTAATAGTAGAATTGTATAAAAAAATATTAAACTAACTAATTATCAGCGCATAATCGTTTTGCATATGATTTCTTCTTGTTCAATAATTTAGCTTGTGCTTGAAGAATTCACACAATGTGGAAGATCATTTTTTTGCATCTTTCATATCATCTTCAAAACTACAAAGGAGTTCTCTAGTTATCTCTGCTCTTAGAGATTCTGTTGTTCTACTCCATCGATGAAATGCCAAGTATAAGCTGTTATTACGATATCAAATATCATTTATTTTTCAGATCATTTTCGCTTGCCCAATGATTTTGCAGCACTATGAATTTGTACTAAAGTTTGTGCAATAGCCTTTTCACTTTCATGTGGCTTGGCCTCTGTCACTAAGATAGGCTTTTTTTATAAAGACATTATAATCTAAAAAACTGTACCCACAGCTTCTATCGAGTTCAACTTCTACCATTAATTGCGTTAATGAATCATTGTGTTTGCGTACGTGATCAACTGCCAAAATAAGGAAGACCGAAATGAATTCCTAAACCGTTGCCTCATTTATCATAACATTATTGTGAAAAGCATTCATCTTTTATCGAAGGATATCTTCAAAAAGTTTTAAATCATCATCATTAAGTAAGGGGTCTGATTTAGAAACTTCATCTATTTCAAATGTTGGCATTGAACTGATAGAATTGAATGCATCATTATATATTTCCTTAGAAATCTCCTTGAAGATCTAATCTCTGTATGATTTTTTACCCTTTATTTCTATTTTAAGGTCAAAAGAATATTCATCTCGATCATTTCAATCAGAATTATTTACTAATCTATTGAACTGGAATTCATCCTCAATTTTGTCTTCCTTTGAATTTGTTTTAGCAACAAAATAAATATCGCTGGTTTTTAACTTCTTGAAGCTTTTTTGAACAGCTTCCCAAAGCAAAATCCAAGAGCCACTAGAATGTATATTTATCTGAATTTCATAAAAACCTATATTTTAATATAACTGCAGATAGGAAAACTAATGAGGTTATGTATGTAAGTAAATTAAATTACAAGATGTGTATTTATTGCTGGCATTTGATAATGGATACTGTATAACAAGCAGTTTTTATGCAATAGTGGTTAAGGATGTGAGAGGAGCATCTGATAGAAGAGGTGTGAGTGTATTATAATCATCATAGAAAAAAAATTCAATGTCGCTTCGCTCGACATTTCGAAGTTCATTAAATTCCTCTTTGAGAACAGGCTTAAGGCAGTCCAAATTAAGAATACATGTAACATAATTTGTCTGATCAAGGTCAACTTCTACAGCACTTTTTTCCCTTCAAGTAAGATCTACATTGTTACTATAGAACTTGGGGACTGGTTATCGACGTTAGACATGTTTGATAATTGCAAAAAAAAAATTTATTAAATAAAAACAGCCAATTAATCAAAAATATGAAGAATTTTTTTTTTACTATGCACAATAGGGTATTTATAAAGTGATGGTGTTTATTGTATTATACTATTGAAATGCTCATCTCGATAAGTTAATTTTTCCAGACCCGATTGATTTGCATAATTGGCTACAAAAACTTGGAAGCTAAAAAAAATAGTAGTTAGCTTCAACCTTCCCCTACACCATAATAAAAGTTTTTCACAGTTTCTTTCCAGTTTCAAATGCATAATCCATAGTATTTTAGCTCTCATGTGATCGATTCGAAACTCTGGATTGGCTGATTACACTCAACTAATCAAAATCAACCTAAAGTATGAAACGTTGCCAAAATCATTACGGCAGATATTATCAAATCTTGTAATCACATTATTGACCATCGATAAAATTTTCTGCATCTCAGATACATAGCCAGCATCATGATTCTGCCAATCCAGCATTAACTTCTTTGTTAAGAGTCTTATTAAGTTTATTGTTGATTCTACTAAGTTTCACATCAACTTCATTATTGATTCTACCAAGTTCTGCAGTGAGAGAGGTCTTAATTTCAGATACACGTGAGATAATTTCATTAGTGATTTTATTATCATATGCAGAGAGCTCATTGATCATTTCAATAAAGGTCTTTTTGTAATACTTCTATTATGTGCAGGAAGATTATTAAAGAATTGGTTTCTGATAACATAAATCAAGAAAAATACGCTAAGAATAAAAAGTGTAAAATCTTCAAAGATAGACTATAAGGCGCTGTTTTGCAAGGTGAGTGCAAACATAATTTCAGAGTGAAGTAAAAAAATTGTTCAAATAATTTTAGATCACAGATAGTTATATGTGATTTTTTATGATATATTAGTATGATTTATCACTAGTGAAGCTAAAGGTAAATCTACATTCTTTTATATATTTTACAGTTAGTTCTATAGCAAGGAAATACTTATTAATGCTAGTTATAATTAGAAAAAAGAAACCATGTTGAAATACAGGCCTGAAATAATTTGCTGAAAGCATTTTATATGAAAATAATAATATACCTATACTCCTATTCCTAAAAAAAGTTAGTAATATTCCTATAACCCTATACCATCACATTATATTCAAATAATGAATAATATATTTTTTTGTAAAAGTTTGGCTATGAGGCCTTATGCATTTTTTTTATTAATAAAAATTATTGAAATATCTGTTGGATCCCTCTGGGATCATGTATATTCAGTATGTGAATAAGCTATTTTATACGTAATACCTTCAGCTAAAATACTATTCTTTTATTATATTTTTATCTAAAGAAAGAGCAAAAGAAAAACTAGATATCTATCTAGATTTTTTTCTCATTTTGAATATATAAGAAGGTAGGACTTCTTTTATTCGTGACGCAGTTTGATATAAAAAACCTTTATTATTATAGGTAAATGCAGATCAAAACATGAAGTCTGTTAAAAGGAAATAAGCAGGATATTTATAAAAAATTTCAGGCAGTTTCACTTGATTATTTTTGCGAAAAATTAGCCATTTTAGAAATAAAATTATCAGAAGCAATGACATAAATTTCATCTTTTTTTCGAATCTAGATGAGGATGCATGTGTTCCTTTTTGAATAAATTATTTTTAGAGGTGATTAGAGCTCCGAATCAGGTCAGGTTAACCTGTGACCTGACCTGACCTGACCTGAATAATTCAGGTCAGGTAGACAAATATTCAGGTCAACATCAGGTCGGATCAAGCTTATGATCTGACCTGATAAAATTCAGATCAACCAATCAAATTAAATGAAATAAAATATTTAAAAAAAAAATTTTTTTTTATTTATTTTTTTTTAAAACATCTTTAATTTTATTTAATATACTTTCTTTTTATATTCTAATAAAGTTGTTTGTATAATTA